CGGGCGCACCGCGCGGACACTTACCCGCCCGCGGCTGCCGGGGAGCGGCCGCGCCACCCCCCGATTTCATCGTACCCCCACCGCCCCCCCCTTCTGTTGCCTGCCGGGAAAGGACCAGATGCTCGAGACGGAAGCGCTCGGGCGCTAGGAGAGCCGGGACTTGTAGTCCTCCGGCTCTAGTGCTGCCCCAGCAGTCGAGCCACGCACGGCGCCACAGAAACTACAAATTCCGGCGGCCCCGACGTCGTGGGGCGGGATCGATGGCTCTGATTGGTTAAATGCACGGTCGCTCACAACTTAAAGTCAATGGCCTCTGCAAAAGGAAGGACCTCCAGACTCGGCCCGGAAGAACGTCCCGTCCCCCTCCCCCCCTTGATTCAATTGGGGGAAAGAACATCTCTCTGAGCGTATCAGCGAAGAGGGAAGGCGGGCACTTCCTCCAAGACTGCCCAATCAACGGAGGCGGAGGAAGTTGTATAAATGCTTGAATCCGGCGCGGCCTCGGTCTTTCTGGGTTGCGTCCGCGAGGCCGGCTCCGCGTCCCGCGTTCTGGAGGGACGCGCTCCGTCCGCGGCCGGGCCTAGGGCCGAGTCCGCCTTAGTCCTCGGCGCTGAGGCGTCCGTTCCGGGTTCGGCGGCCTGGCGCTTCCCCCAGGTAAGAGGCGGCCGCGCCCGTTAGCCCCGCGGAGCGCGCGGCCTGTGATGAACTGCTTAGACTTCTGACACCTCGTCTGAACGCTGCACGCGCAGCCTGATGACGTAGCAGTACTGAGGCCGGCGCGCCCTCGACGGGGCTGGGGTAGGGGTGGCTGGCCTGATCGGATCTGCCCCTGAGGAGCCGCTCCAGAGGCCTGGCGGGGAAGCGTGGCCTGCCCCCGGAAAGGGGCAGCGGCCATCACAGCGCCCCGTGCAGACCGTGCTTGGAGCTCCGCCCGGCTGCTACCAGCCGGTGAAGTGCCCAGTCGGCTGACTGACGTTAAATGCCTTTTCTTTGCACGTGGCCACGTATCCGAGTGATTTTTGGGGGAGCCTTTCACTGGTGCCCTGACTCGAATCCGGGCTCTCCAGTTGACCGTACTCTGCCCTTCCTGAAGAATGTTGGGGCTTATATCTCCTTTTCATTCCTGACTTGCTGCCTGGGCTACAGGGCCTCTGACAAAGCCCGTCTATATTAGACTCCAGGTCTATATTAGACTCCAGTCGCATACCTTGGACTCATTTCTCAACAGAAACAAGTCTTAACTACCCATAATTCTTTTCCTCTGGCTCCCCTTTGTTTAGGAGCCAGAGGAACCTTCTTGACCAGCCCATTAGAACTTCCACATGGGCACCCCTCTTCTGGGCTACCACTTCCTCAGCCTGCTTGTGCTTCCATAATTTCTAACCAGCTCCCTCACCCCCCTGACAGCTTTCCCAGGCACCATTGGAGTTTGACAGCGTTTCCCAATTCCCATCAACCTCATGCCTCCGGCCTTCCCGTTACAGTCCTTAACCCATTTATTCTTACCACAGCAGCCCCCAAGGGCCAGAGCCACCCGGACTGGATTGAGGACTACAACGTGGTTTCCACAGGATCTCTGCATATGCAGATTACCAAGTGGAGCAGAGCCTGCCCAACGTTCTGGAAGACTGACAACATCAACACATCACCAGGACACAGTCTTAAAGATGAGTAACACCCTTCCCCCCACATTCCACTTGCAGCCATTTCAAAACCTGTCAGAAGAGGTGGAAGAAAAAATACAGGCCATAGACCAGCTTGCCACTCACATAACAATTGGGGACACAACCTCATGGATTTTGCCTGTGTTGGGATTCTTTATGGCCATTTTGGCTTTACTTTTAATTTTACCCCGCATTTATAGAAGGCTGCAGAACATCTTCACAGAAAGAGCAAGAGCCTTCGTCAACCAGACTCTGAATCAGAGGCTTCTGGCTCCAGATAGTCAGAGGCTTCTGGCTCCTGAGACAATGCCACATTGCCCCTCATCCAGAGGATACTTCCATGTAACCCCACCCAATGTCCATCAGGAAGTTAGCAGCAGACCTTCGCCCAGATACCATAACGAGCCATCCTCACCAAAATTAAAAGGGGAGTGCTAGTCTGATCTCCATCTTAGGAGCTACTCCATTTTAGTCCTATGGTAAAGCACGGCCTTTCCCCAAACACAGCTTACTTCAAAAGAAGCAGCTGCAATTGCTAACAGACACCCCCTTCCTCCCCATTAAAGCAGTTCCTGTTTGTACAACTACAACCATAAATGTTAGCCTGGCCACAGTGGAATTCCGCTCTCACATCCTACACCTAACCCCCATAAAACCCGCCTGCTTGGCTGCTACCCATTGGGTGAGGTAGCCAATCAGATTACTGGCAATAAATTCCTTTTCCTTTGTGTGTGACCATGTGTCTGGTCTTCAGTTTTCTGCCCCCAGGCTGCCTTCATATCACAATTACCACCTGTATGGACATCATGGCTTAGGGAGACAAATAATGGCTGTTACAGAGGAATTAGTGCAGATTTGGAATCTCAACTGGGAATATCAAACCCCCTGATGTTCTCCAGGCAAAGTAGAAAAGTCTATCATTCTACGTTCACGTGCAGCAATCTGGAAGGAGTACGGATTGCTGGTAGAGTGCTTGCCAGAGTGCAGCCCTGGGCTCAATTCCTCAGTAGCACATGAACAGAAAGCCAGAATTGGTGCTGTGGCTCAAGTGGTAGACTGCTATCCACCTCAAACCTCTGCTCTATTGCTTCGCCCGCCGTATCTGTTCCCCTCACCTCCCTGCCATCAGCCTTCATTTCCAAAATAACCCAACAAGTGGGGGTTTCCTTAAGAATCCAGTGGAACCTCCGCATTGTTTACAGACGCTAGTCTTGACTCAAAGTCGAAAGAGCTAATGCACTTGAGGCACAACTTGCTAAGCTTTCTCTGGAGCGCCAACCATCTTGGCCTGCACTTCTACCTGCTATCCCCCAGCCTCACTCAGTCCCTTTTGAACTAAGGTGCCATGGTCCTTCCTGCTAGGAAACTTCCCCACTGATTCTAAACCATGTTTAGACTGTCTTCTCCAGCACCTGCTTTGCCAACACCCAGCCTCACCCGGGCTTTCCAAGTACACTTGCTTGTTCCTGACCTGTGTGGCCCTTCTTCTCTGCAACCCATGACTTCCTAAAAACAGCAGAAGCCGGGAGCCAATGGCTCATGCCGTCATCCTAGCTACTGGAGGCTGAGATCTTGAGGATCTCGGTTCAAAGCCAGCCTGGGCAAGAAACTCATGCTTGACACTTTTATCCCCAATAAGCCACCAGAAAACCAGAAGTGGTGTTGTGGCTCAAGTAGTAGAGCGCTAGCATTGGACAGTGCCCAGGCCCAAGAGTTCCTCCCCCGTCGTGGCCTCGTAACCTCTAGTCTGGCACAGGACCCAAGTTCACTTCTGTGGCCTCGGGCCAGGCTGGTCCAGCTGTCACTGATCAAGATGGCAGGACATTGGGAGCTCCCATTTATACTTAGGAGAGAGCTGTGGCCAGGTGGCAAGTCTTAGGGACTGAAGACAGCCCATGTTCTGGCTCCAGCTTTCTCTATAAAGTGCATGTGTTCTCCATCTAATCTGCATCTCACCTCGGACAGCTTGACAGGGCTGGTCTATGGCAAATGGTATCCAAATGGACTTGACTTAAAGCGGCTTAAGGGAGATCTCCATAGGGGCCTGAGATGCTGGAGGCCAGTGTGTTCACTGACAGCAGCTAGCTACAAGAATGTTTAAACTTTGTTCAAAACCAGGCACTGGTGGCTCACACCTGGAATAGTGGTCTAGAAAATAAGCCCCCATCGGACAATCACTGTTACATATAAAAATAACTCAATAGAGTTAATAGGTCACTTTCAGGGCAATAGATGGACCTAGAACAAATCCTGCTAAGTGATATAAGCCAAGCTTGGAGATGCTAGGTCTAAAATACACTGGAACGTGGTAATTTCTACTTGAGCCACAGCACCACTTCTGGCTTTTTCTGTGTGTATGGTCCTGAGGAATCGAACCCAGGGCTTCACGTATGCTAGGTAAGCACTCTACCACTAGGCCACATTTCTAGACTTCCATGAGACTCTTGAAAAACCAAAAGTGGTACTGGCTGGTTCAAGGGGTAGAGTACTACCCTTGAGCACAGAGGCTCAGCACTGAGGCCCACGTTCAAGCCCCACCACTGACAAAAAATCCTGATCCCTAACTACATGTTAAAGATGGAAGTGTGAATCTGTAAGGGGGTAAGAGCGGGGAAATACTAAATTCTAATGAAAAAGAGAAGCTGCACATGGCAACTCCTCCCCTTCTCGTTATCCAACTTTGAGCAGTGGCAACTTTTAAATCTCATCCGGTCAGAGTTGAGGGGAGCATTACCATGAAGCCCCTGCTCCCACACAGGTGGGCTTCGAACCTGCTGTGGTAGTGGTCCATTTTCAACACACTCAAGGAAACACCTTTATTCAGTAGGACTGGAAAACAGACTTGCAGTCGTGATTGGTTGGGGAGAGCTTGGTGTCAGCAGTAGAAAGACCTCCCCTAACTCCATGCCCAGCCCTCTCCCACAAGCTATTTGCTGTTTTAGAAAGCCACAGCCTGGAAATCACTTGAGGGTCTTGTTTGGGCCAGGACCTGGGGAGTAAGCTAGGAGGAGAGAGGAGGCTGTGGGCCTTGAGACGCGTAGGTGCGTGCTTTCTGGCGGGAGGCCTCTGTTCTAGGCAGGAGTCTGGTGATGGATGGACAGACACATGGCTTTGAAAAACAAGTCAGGCACTGAACTGGCCTGGGACCGGTTTAGCTGGGAACGGCCAGGCGGGGGCAGCAGAGCGCCTTGGCGTGGTGTTACCGTGGCTTTTGAGGTCTGCTTGTCTGGGCTGAGGATTGAGATAGATAGCCATTGGGACAAAGACGAAACTTGGGCCCGGGACTCCTAGAAATAGTTGACACTGGGGGTGTCCATTAGGTGACGTCAAAAGGGCCTACGGCCCCCTTGTCCGGCCCTCCCGGACACGGCTGCTCCTCCAGGCAGGGCTGAGCTCAGCCAGGCTTCAGGGGTGGCAGCAGGCGGCCCCTCGACCCTCTCTCTTCACATAGTCGTGCAGCCGGAAGCAGGGCTCGCTGGGACACTTGGTGCAGCGCTGTTTCAACTCCCTGCAGAACAGGGGCGATGACTGGGAGCAAGACAGCCTCCCGTACCCCAGCAAGAGGGTCTACACCCCGAGTCTGGGGGGGGGAACTTCCTGTCCAGTGCCAGGACTTACTTTGCGATGGCAGTGAAGGCCAAGTCCACGTTGATGCCGGTCTTCGCGCTAGTCTCCATGAATGGCAGCCCGTACTCCTGCAGACGGCTTGTGCCAGCTGCCCCAAGCCTGGCAGGGGCAGCCGCGGCTGCCCTGCCTCCCAGGCGCCCCGCCCCACCCACGGTGCCCCCACTCACCTTGGCCAGCTTCTCCCCGTCCTCCCTCCGCACCACACGCTCCTGAGCAGAGTCCACCTGGCCCCGGGCACAGCACAGGGATTTGGGTGACGCCTGACCTGCGGCTTGCACATGCGCGCACACACGCACACACACACAGACCCACCACCACCCAGGGCCGGGCTGCCCACCTTGTTTCCCAGCAACATGAGCACCACATCGTGTTGGGCATACTCCTGGATCTCCGTCAGCCAGGCCTGTGGGAAAAGCTGGGACCAGGTGGGGGCTCCTACCCCCTTCGCACCTCGTCCTGTTGGAACCTTGGTGCCTGTGCGCTGGGCAGAGGTGCCCGCCTCACAGACGCCTGATCCCGGGGCCTGCTGACAGGGCCCGATGTCACCGGAGGGGCCACGGGCCCGTCGGTGCCCATCACCGCAGTCTGTGGGGCTCTGGGAACTTGGGGAGCCTCGCGCCACGGGGGCCCTGGTGGCCCATTTGTTCCCTCCACCGGGAGAGGAGGCCACTGACCTGGATGTTGTCGAAGGAGGCCTTGTTGGTGACGTCATAGAGCAGCAGCAGCGCTGGGGACAGGGGGTGGTGAGGACAGCCTGGAGCCCCGTGGCTTCCTGTCAGCCCCCCCCCCCCCCCGCTCACACACCTGTACCCAGGTCTGGGGCGTGGCAGCATCCTGCCCTCCCCTGTGTCCCCCCCCAGATCGCCCCGTGGGTGCTCACCATGGGCGTCTCTGTAGTAGGCGTGGGTCACGCTGCGGAAGCGTTCCTGGCCAGCCGTGTCCCAGATCTGTGGCAACATGGCTCTGGTTATGATGCCCGGCCCCTTTCTGTTGCTCCCTTCCCTTCTTGCCTCCCTCCCTTCCTCCCTCCCTCCCCCCTCCCCCGACTCGCCTCACCTGCAGCTTCACCTTCATGCCTTCCACATCCAGAACCTTGTTCTGAAACAGAATCAGCCCCAGCAGGGGCCCAGTGCCACTCTCTGCCTTGGGACATCCAAGGGGAGAGCAGAGGGGCCGTCCCGCTGACAGGAAAACCAGGAACCTCTGCCCCGCCCCTGGCGAAGTCTTTTAAGTCATTCTTGAACGCACTACCAGCCTTCATGCTGCCGCCCTTCCCTCTGCCTACCGTCGAGGCTTCCAACAAAACCTTAGGGCTGCCTGGTTCTCTCCAGTCTAGATTTTTCCTCCACCACCCTGGAGAGCGCCCCGTTCCTGCTCCGTGGGGCTTGCGGTCTCCCTTGACCACCTGCCTAGAGCGCAGACTCACGGGCTGCAGGAGGAGTGGTTGCTGCTTACAGCCATCCGTACTTATTTTGAAGCCTTTTGGGTCATGACTCGGGTCCACTATTAGCTCCCTCGGTGTGTTGCAAATGGGCATCTTGGGGTGTCCTTCCATGGCTGCTCAGATAGCTTAATGAATGAGCTGCTGTATGTACGGAAAAACACATCTCACCCAGAGAAAAGGCTAATTGAATTTGTTCTGGATAGGGTTGTTTTTGTGCCAGTGCCGGGGCTTGAACTCAGGGCCTGGGTGCTGTCCTTTAGTGTTTTTACTCACAGCTGACTCCGCTACCACTTGAGCCACAGCTCCACTTCCAGCTTTTTTTGGTACTAATTGAAGATAAGTCTTGTGGGTTTTTCTGTTCAGGCTGGCTTTGAACCTTGATGTCAGACTGCTCATCCTCCCGAGGAACTAGGATCATAGGCTGGAGCCACCAGCACCCAGCTTAGGGTGTTTGTTTGTTTAAAAAAAAATCTCTCCCCAATGGGACCTGCATTGCCCTGGGTCTGGGTTTGTGCTCAGCAGATCCAACGGCTCAGCCACAGAGCCCAGAACTATCTGGTAAACAGTTACTCCCCAAGGCCGAGTCCTGGGCTCTACTGCCCTCCTGAGTTCCTGTTGGGGTACTTCTGGGTCTCCGGGGAACCAGGCTCAGCCATCTGCCAGGCTGAGAACCATACCTCACTTCCCCTGGCACCCTGAAACAGGCTACAAATCAAACAGCTCGCCCTTCTTCATCCCTTGCCCCAGACCCAAAAGGGAGACCAGGACAGGCAAAGGAGCACGGCTCCGCTTGGCCCGTCCTGCCCAGCCCTTCCTTCACCCCACAGAGCTGCAGGGGACCCGGGACCCCCCCCATTCCCTGTCTCTGTGTTATCCGTAATAGACTCATTTCAAAACCACTCCCTGTTCTTGGCATCTGGAACAAAGAATTAAGCAAAACATGAATAATGAGAGGGCCACAGGTTTATTAAAGCAGAACTCCGCGAGGAGGAGGGGGAGGAGCAAGGGTGCCGAGCCCCGCGGAGGGGAGGGCTTTGAGCGCCCCTCCTCTTTGGTGATGGACAGCTGGGGATTATATAACATTTCCTTTCTGTTGCATATTATCCACAACGCATCAGGAAAAGCCCACAGGCAGGGGGTGTCAGAAGGAGAGAACCTGGTTCGTTAATGAGCAGTTTCTGCCCCGGGCAATTCAGGGGGACATCTATGGATGCCACCAGGGCGTGTGGAGCAGAGCTTTTCCAGATTAGGAATAGCTTCCATGGCCCATCAGGTTTTTCTCACCTGTCCTTCTGCCACAACCCTAGACCACGATTGTCCCCTCTGGTCAGATCTAGCCAGAGAATGTCAGATGATGACTGGCAAATAGGTCCCCATATGCCTCCCCGCAGAGGGCGTCAACGAGGACTGTGCTGACTGACCCACGCCTTGGGTGGACAGAAGTCTTTGCCATGGGGACAGAAAGGGTCCTGGAAGTGGTAAGATCTACTTAAAGAAATCATTCCTAGGGCTGGGCATGTGGCTCTGTTGGTAGAGTGCTTGCTTAACATGCATGAGGCCCTGTGTTGGATTCCTCAGTCCCACATACACAGCAAAAGCCAGAAGCGGCGCTGTGGCTTAAGTGGTAGAGTGCTAGCCTTGAGCAAAAGAAGCTCAAGGATAGTGCCCAGGCCCTGAGTTCAAGCCCTAGGATAGGCCAAAAAAAAAAAAAGGAAGGAAGGAATAAATAAATAAATACACAAATAAATAATTCCTAGACCTGGATTACTGCAGAATACACAAAGTGATCAATCCTCAGGAAAAGTAGAAAAAAGTTTAGCAAAAAATTAAAATGTAAGCTGGGCACTAGTGGCTCACACCTGTAATCCTAACTACACAGGAGGCTGAGATCTGAGGATCATAGTTCAAAGCCAGCCCGGGCAGTAAAGTACGTGAGACTCTTATCTCCAAAAAAACACTAGAAAACCGGAAGTGGTGCTATGGCTTAAGAGGTAGAGCGCTCTCCTTGAGCTGAAGAGCACAGGGGCAGTGCCCAAGCCCTGAGTTCAAGTCCCACAACTAACAGAAAAAAAAGAAAAAAGCCAGAAGTGGAGCTGTGGCTCAAGTGATAGAGTGCTAGCCTTGAGCAAAAGAGCTTAGGGACAGCACCCAGGTTCTGAGTTCAAGCCCAGGATTGGCACAAAAGAAAGAGAGAGGGGGGAGGAGGGGAGGGAGGAAGAAAGGAAGGAAAGAAGGAAGGAAAAAAGAAGGAAAGAAGGGAGGGAAAAGAAAAAGAAAGATGGCTAGCTAACCTACTGGCACCCATGGGCAGTAGGATTTTGATATGGTTTCTCCCATTCATAAGCCCCCTCAGTAGTGATTTTCCTGGGATCATGTTTTGGGTCATGGATCCTGCATGTATTTATTTATTTTGTCTCTTCTTACCGAGGAGCCATTTGCCTAAAAATGACAGTCCCCACAGAGGTTCCATCCTGTACCTGAAGAAGTGACCGTGGGCAAAATTAATGGCACTAGTCAGAGCTTCTGGTGGAAGAGAGTACTGCCCCGAAGGCTGACTTCTCCTGCTTAGAACACAGCAAGACTTCTGCAATCCCCAGCAGGTACAGCTACACCCCCTTGCCAGCCCCAAACTGAAGAGCCCATCACTCTTCCCACCTCCTAAAGACTTGCTGGGATCCCATCTTGAGGAAAATGAGGGAGGTAGAGACTTCAACCCCATCCCTACCCAGGACCCACCGCTGACTCCCTAAACAGCTGATTTTGCTCTCAGAGCATCCTGATGGAGGAAGTTTCTCCCAGAAGGGTAACTCGCCCCAAAAAGGATGTCTGGAATCTCACTTTTCCCCTTAGATTGCTTTTTGGTCATTACCATATAATTTGCATTGAAATTTGCCCCCCTTGGGATTTTCCTGGTGCATTGTGGGTAAGAATGTAAGGAACTACTATGTAATCAGAAGCTGCCACCTCAAAACTGTCCCACCACAACGGAGGAGAGACCTTTGACCCAATTCAGCCTAAAACCGCCCTAACACAGGACCCACGGGCTCTTGCATTCCTGTTCGGTCCACTCCCGCTCTGTGGAGTGCACTTTTGCTTTCATAAACCTGTGGCTTTTCTCCTCACTCACAAGTGTCGTTCAATTCCTTGCTAAAGACACCAAGAATGGAACTGTTCTGAAACAAGTCTACTGCTCCACAGCACCTCATCTGGCCTTCTCAGCCTCCTGCTAACTGGGTCTAATTAAAGGGTGAGAAAAATAAATGGGAATTCAGAATGTGCTAAGAATCACACCAGCATCTCAACATGTGGGATTCCATCTGACAACCCCCAAGTCCTCTTGAGGTGCTGGGGGAAGTGTCCTCACCCCAAGGTAACACTCCCCCGCCCCTCCCCACCTAGCAAACACAGGCTGCAAGGCTGACACGTGGCTTGAAGGGCCTGGGCAGGGCCCAGCCTGGCCTCCCCTCTGCCTGGAGGGTGGTGCCAACCCCCGGCACTGGACAACCTATTTCTGCATCAGTCTAGAGCAGGTGTGGGGAGGTGTCCGCCACCAGCCTGGTGGCTCAGGACAGCTCCACACTGAGCTGTAGCTAGGGGTTGGGGAGAGGGGGTCCTGGGTGGACTGCATGTGAGGGAACCAGGGCGTGGCTGGGCCGGGGAGGAGCCGGGGACCTCAGCCTATGCTCACCCGGAAGTCGATGCCCACAGTAGAGATGAAGGTGCCTGCCAGAAAAGCTCTGTCCTTGAAGCGCACCAGCAGGCAGGTCTTCCCCACACCGGAATCGCCCACCAGCATGACCTAGGTGGAAATGTCGGGGGGGGGGGTGTGGTGAGGCGGGGACAGGCTGAGAAAAAGGGACTGGGGCACTGTTCCAACCACAGAGTCTGCCCTGAGCAGTTCTGGCCAGAGATGGGCCATCGGCCAGGGGCAGGAGAGAAAAGGGGCATTCTAGGCCTCTGGGGGAGAGGCCGGGGAGCAGCTACAGTCTCCAATAATCTGAACCCCCCAGTCTCTGCCCCTAAGGGTCTCTGTCCCATCTCCAACAGCGAGCATCTCAATGGAGGGGGCCCCAGGGCCTAGGTCCCATTCACAACCCCACCAGTCCTGATTTGGGAGGTCAGTCCCTACTTGGAGCTTAATGGGGAGCAGACCCCGGGGAGGGAGGGGGGTCAGCTGTGGCCTCCAGAGTCCTGGGAGGCGTGTGCCAGGGGGGCTTCTTCAAACAAACCCCAGCAAGGACGCCAAGCGTCCATCCTGCAAGGCTGACCAGGTCAGGTCTTGACCTGAAGAGCGTCTGGGCCCCATCGCAGCCAGGTGGGGCTGGCCAGACGGGTCCTGTCCCCGTCCAGCCCAGCCCCAACCCGACGTCCCAGAACCCAGGGCTATGCCTGTCCACCCCAGGTCACACTCATCGCTTCCGCCTTGGTCCCGGGGAGGCCTCATCCCCCCCACCCCCGTTAGCGAACCTCCTCCTGGCCGCCCCCCTTGGGGAGGGGAGGCCGGCCCAGACCCGCAGGCCCCGGCGCGGGAAGGCGCCATATGGGAAGCGATAACGCGGGAGCTGGGAGGGGGGGAGCGGAGGGGCCCCTCGGAGCCCGGATGCGTGCGTGGGGGGCCCCGGGCGCCCCGACACCCGTGCCAGCTGTTGAACGCGGCCGGCGGCGGGGC